CCCCAAAACCCCAAAACCCCAAAACCCCGGGGTGAAGGGAAGAGATTGAAGGGATTTTATGGGAAGTTTGGAGTTAAGATGTCAGGCGGAGGTATAGTTTAGGGTCCATTTTTGGAAGTTTTGAAGGAGATATGCCTTGGGGAGATAGAGAGGTAAGGATTTTGTTGCAGAATAAAGCTTCTTGGGGGAAGTCATTTTCTTGGTAGAAGGCAAGGATTTGTGTAAATAATCTTTGTCTTGCTTCTGGGGATCCTTTGATAAAATCCTTGGTCTCTTCTTCAACCATTCCCAACTTGTAAGCAATAAAGAATTTGAGATCAACAACTCCTTTAGCTTTATTCAAAGATTCAAAAAGTTTGATGCATTTGGTGCTAATTTTCAATGCTCTTTCAGTGTCTTGAGGAGAGCCTTTTGAGCTGTAGATGTAAGCAACTGATTTGTATAGATTAGCAAGACAAAGAGTTGATATCTCTTCCTTCTTCTTGTATAATTTGTACATCTTCAGCGCGTCTGACTCTTTAGAGATTCTATAATTAACTAAGACTGAGAGTTACGATATCAAGGTGTTGACGTAGAACAGCACAATTTTCTCTTCATTATTTAACTCTTCTCTTGCTCTGTAATCGTTTGGATGGTTGATGAGGAGTTCAAGCCTCTGAGTATCCAAAGAATTAATTGAACCCAAGTCTGAATCTGTAATATCTTCCACTTCCTGATTGGTACCTAAAGATTATCCAATATTTTTACTTTCGATCTGTGGCAATATCTTCGATATAGAACTTCTAGGGCAGGCTCGATTAGTAATAAAAGGATCTTTGGTTCTTTCGTTATTCCCAGAAGATTTACTGACTTCCTGCATAACATTAATACCTCTGTAAATGCAAGCCCATATATTCGCTTCCATTTCTGTAAGTTTCTTCTTTACAGTGAATAATCTTTTCTCTTCGAATATTTCTCTGCAAAACTCCTCAAGAATTTGACACGACTTTTCGTGAAGTTCAGCCTTGGTTTGAGGCTTCTGATTGAGGAATTCACAAGCTCTGATTGTAATAAATGGGAGCAGACTGAAAATAAACTCTCCTCTATTGTTGGTTTTGTATACTATCAAAGAGGCCTTGGCCAATTCGTCTTTTAACACAACCCATGTGGCATCTCCCCAAATCTTAGTAATATAATTCTGCTTGATTCCTCCAGGGAACATCCCAAGTATCATGAACAAATCAATAGTTTGAGAATTCTATGAAAAGTTATATCGTTTGCTGATTTAACGAAGATAGGATAGTGGTATCTTTAAAAACTTACCCAGCTTTTTATGGCTGAAATACTAAGCTCTAGAGCATTTCTCAGTGAATCACTTGTCTTCTTATTATTCTGAGGCTTGTTTGGGTTCAATACATCTGAATCAGATAAATCATTGAATAACTCTGTCAATGACTTGTACTGAAGTAATGGAGCTGCTAATGAAATCGCCTGAGGATGCCCTCCTAACAATAAGAACAAAGGATGATTCTTTAAGAAAAGTGATTTGTTTGGATAACGAGATGAATTAAATCTTGTAGCCACAAAGAGCTCCTTTATTTCATTAGGAGAGATTTTTCTAGGTGCTTTTTCAAACAAACAACGAACTGATGCTTCATTTGATAGGCTTTCTAAAGGAAATTGCATTTCTTTGTGATGAGATCTTAGTTCTAAAGCTGTCCTTGAAGTTAATAAGAACTTTGATTCACTTCACTCATCAAGAATGCTCTCAATCTCTTTTGTAAAATTAACTTCATCTGAATCAATTGGGTCTTCACAGTTGTCGAGAATTAGGAGAATCTGTTTGTCTCTTAAGAAACTGTGAACTAGAGCCCGATCTTCAACCTCACTATCTTTCATTTTCTTGTAATCATTCTCCAATTGAATCTCTGTCCTAATAATCAAAGAGAGATTAGCAAGGAACATTTGAGAAGACTCTCATCCTCTGAGTCCGACATAAATAATACCATCTCTGAATTTATGTCTTTGCTTTAAGTAATCAGCCAGGTTCCTTGCAATAGATGTCTTTCCTATTCCTGATAGACCAAGAATCGAAACCAGTCTGTTGGTTGATAGGTGATTGATTATATCATACATTTCCTTCTGTCTTCCAACAAAGTTATCAATTTTGGATGGGACTGATAAGATTGTAGGCTTCTCTCCAAGATTGATCAACCCTCCAGGTTTGATATTAGTGACTGCTTGGCATAAATGCTTTGACCTACTATTCAAGTGATGACCTTTCTCCTGAGGCATTAACAATAGGAACTTATTTGCTTCATTATCTTTCAGTATTTTCCTGACTTCTTCCTTAGCGATATGGAATGATGCACAGACTGTATAGTTCTTAACAAACAGTGTTTCATAAAACACTTTTGAAAAGCGTAATGCAGCTCCATCATCGACTTCTTCACTCTGCTTAATGCAGATGACATGCTTTGCTCCAGCATTTAGGAAGACTTTGCCTGCAAATTCAGAGTGACATGAGGATACAAACACAACTTCGAGGTTAATCTGCGAAAGCTTGATCATTTTCTTCAAATCCCTCTCATAAAAATACTCTGTCATGCACTTTTCATTCTCAAGAAGCAATATATCCCCTTTATCCTCCCCACCAAGCCTGCTCTTGTACCCTACTTCCTTATTCTCCATTCCATGGCCTGAAAAATGGAGAGCTATTGGACCATCAGTCAGTACACTTCTCATGTTACTCGGAGTGGCCACTACTGATTTATATTTCATCTCGTAATCCATTGCACTACATACGTCCACAATGTCTCTGATCTCCTTCTGGCAGTCTAATAGCATAACATTGTCAGTCCCGCCTTCGACTTTCCTAATCAGAGGAGAAGCGAACAGGAAGGCGAGGTGCAGCCGGGAGTTAGTCATGTCGAGAGGGATTACGTTACCTTCACTCTTGAGGCGGTGGATTTGAGTGTCACGGATTTTGATCGCTCTCAGAGCGAGTCGGAGTTTTTCTCTGTACATGTCGTTTTCTTGCATGAGTTTTAGCGATTCATCGTTACTTTTGAGATGACGAAAGTTGTGAGAATTTTTGTCGCAATCTAAAGATTGAAGACCTAAATTTGAAAGAATTAGATTTTGAGTTTAGAAGGTTGGATTTAAAATTTTATTAAAGAAATAAAAGTTGAAACACATTGACTTCAAATTTGAATTTTTCTAAAATTTAGATTATCTAATATTTTGATTCAATTTTTAAAAACATTGGGAAATCATTAAAAAATACCCCAAATTTCTTAACTTCTTCTTAAGAAGATTATACAATGAAAGCTAGATAAGAGCTCGACTTACCATTATTTTGATGACTAGATTTAGTCTTCTTTAATTTCTGTGTATACTCTTCTGCTTGATTGCACTTGTTCAGATCTTCTTCATTAATGAACTGGTGAAGGTCGATTTCATTGCCCTTTTCCTCTTCGAATAAATTTATGCGAACAGATGTTTGCACTATATACTTGATTTTAAAAATACCTGGAGCTGAAAACTGTTCTGGAATTGCAACCTTGCCTTCTTCTGAACATTGAGAAGTATGTTCTTTCTCTTCAATCTCACCAAACAGTATATCATCCATACCCATTAAATCAAGATTATCAAAGTTAATCTTCGTTTGGGGAGGTTCTTGCCCCACTTTGAGCTTATTTGATGGTACTTTCTTTATTCAATTTACTGCCTGATTCTCTTGAGTGTTTAGTTCAGCAAATTGAGTTTTGGTATATCCAAGATTACTCAATAGCAAATCAAAGATTTTTGAATCCAGCTTCTTCAACCCTGATATAAGTCCTTTCACGTTTACTCTAATATGATCTGTTGGATTATCCTTCTTTCAAGCAATTAAGATTCCTTCTTCATTCAGCTTTATCTCAGTATTTAACTCTAAAGATTCTTTCTGCAAAGGATCTAACAAATGAAGCCCTAATTGTTGAAGAGAGGAGATATCTCAAACTTCTGAAAGGAAGCCATCACCTAATCCTTTTTCATATTCAGAGGTATCTTCTTTCTCCACCAGTGGTCTTATATGATTTTCTATAAGGGACAAGTCTTGATTAAACATTTGTGATGACTCTCTGCCATCTTTTCTGCTCTCTGCGTCTGATTGGCTCAATGCTTTTATATTATCAGAATCTATATCTCTAACGATCTTTTTTTAATATGGTAAAACTTGAGAAGATTTCTGGGGAAATCCTGACAGAAAGAGTTATCTTACCTTTACAATTTGGATCTTTGAAATCTAAGCTTTCAGATATAGATTCAGGAGTATTTTTAGTTCTATCAATGATATAACTATTGGAAGGGCCAATTATAGGGCTTTGATCTCTAGGAGAGTCTATTCTGCATTCAAAGATATCATTCATTTTAAACCCAAGAATATCATCTTCATTATCAAGGATACTGGGAACTGCCTCTTCTTGGTCCATAGTAACTGCATTATCAAAGATTATCCTATAATTCTTAATTATTACTATCATAAAAATAAGTCTTTGCTTGACAAATACTAAATACATTCCTAAAATCCCTCCCATTCTTCATTCCCAAATTCCTACACTTCCTTACAAATCATTCAACACAAGCTTCCAACACCCCTATCCCCCTCTAACCCGCCGTTTCAATACCCCAAGATCCCTTCTTTCCCTAAAATCTCACCCACAACCTACCTCCTCCCCTTCTGTCCCTTTCCCTCCTCCTCCATCCCACTCCTCTCTAGTCCATCCTCTCTCCTTTCCTCTCTCCCCACCCCCATCATTCCAGGAGCTGCCATTGTCCTTCTCTCGACTAAACATAAACCCATATCTACCGTCAGCCAATTCCCTTGTTGGCGCACACCTCACTATTGGCTCTCTTCTCCTTGCCACCTCCATTTTGAGTTGAATTTCTTGTTCGGGAAGTTTCTCCTGAGAACAACAATTACCCATTTTTAACAGTTAATATTTATTGGTAAGAAATAGAGGCTGGGGTTTTGGGGTTTTGGGGTTTTGGGG